TTCATGGGATAATAACTAGTATGTTTCGTGTCTTCAAAGCCCTCCAATTTTCATACCTGAAGCCACTCAAACATCACTGGATTCTGGGACCAACTTGGTTCCAATACAGCAGAACCTTGAACAATATACAGATCTTTTCTTTCTTTTTTTTTTTGGACGGAGTTTTGCTCTTGTTGCCCAGGCTGGAGTGCAATAGCGCGATCTCAGCTCACAGCAACCTCCACCTCCTGGGTTCAAGCCATTCTCCTACCTCAGCCTCTGGAGTAGCTGAAGTGGCATGAGCCACCATGCTCAGCTAATTTTGTATTTTTAGTAGAGATGGGGGTTTCTCCATGTTGGTCAGGCTGGTCTCGAACTCCTGACCTCAGGTGATCCCACCACCTCAGCCTCCCAAAGTGCTGGGATTGCAGGTGTGGACACCACGCCGCAGCCAACAATTACAGCTCTTTACCTGGCTAGAGTTCTTCAGGTGTTACTTTCTTCCGCCTCAACAACTCTCTGCCAAAAACAGACTTCCAGGAATTGAGGCTTGGCCCCTATTTTTTTTTGTGTGGACACATCACCACTAACTTTGTGCTTTGTTAGGGGTCTCTGGTTTCATTTCCTGCCATGGTTTCATAACACATTTTCTTAATTTCATTTATGTATAAATATAACTTTGCATGAATTATTCTAAGGTTGCTTTTTTTTTGTTAACGGGAGCAGTTGAAAGAAAAGTACATGAACAAAATAAAGTTTTCTCAGTGGAAACTTAAAAGTCTATTATCTGCCCTTTTCTCATTTCTTTAGTTTTGCTCAGCACTTAAAATTCATTTTAAACTCTTTGTTTTCAGTTCCTGTGTTTTTCTTTTTTCTGTTTGTATAGTCTGGTAAACAGGGCTTGTCATTTAGTCTCTCTTTCCCATTGTTTGCCATAGTAACTACTAAAAAGGTAAGGATTATTGAGGTATAATTCGCACTTTTAAGTAAATTTACCCATTTTTAGTGTACAATTCTGTGAGTTCTAAAAAATGCATATGGTTATGTAACAGCCGCTAACATCAAGGTATAGACTGACTCCATTCCCAAAAGTTCCCTCATGCTATTCCCCTCCCCTACCTCCAGCCGCTGGCAACCACTGATCTGCTATGGCTCCCTTTTTTTTACCTTTTCCAGAATGAGACATATAAATGGAATCATTTAGTATGTAGATTTTGAATCTGGCTTCTTTCCCTTACCAAAAGGGAATTTTAGATCTATTTTAGATCTATTCATGTTGTGTAGAGCGTGAGTTCATTCTTTTTTTATTACTGAATAGTAAGTACTCCATTGTATGAATATGACATCATTTGATTATTCATGCACAGGTGAAGTACATTTGAGTTGTATCCAGTTTCTGGCTATTTTGAACAAAAACACTATAAATATTCACTAAGTGACTACTTTTTAAATTGGAACAACTTAGAAGTCAGGCAGTGTGACAGTGTGGATACAAATCAAGTGGGAAGACACCTGAGACCTGGGATCTCATACTAGTTTTGCATCAGCCAGCTGTGATTTAAATAATTTAACTTCTCTGTGCCTGCTTGTTTTATAAAATGTGCCTCATTCAGGACTTACTCTAGTTTTTAAATAACATGGTTTTGTGCTGTTAAGACATTTACTATTGTCTAAGAGGAGAGACTATAAATGGTTACATACATTTTATGAAACTAATTATATAAAATCAACATAACTAATATTTAACCTTAGGAGTAATTTTGTCTCTTTAAGTTCAATCATGAATAGTTTGAACATAATATGATTTGCTTAATGAATTTTACAGGTCCTTATAATATCAAACTTTTTATTAACTGTATAATCCAACTAATTTTACATTGGAAAATTATTTTGATAATACATTTTTTTTTAAGACAGTCTTGCTCTGTCACCCAGGCTGGAGTGTAGTGGTTTAGTCTAGGCTCACTGTAGCCTCAACCTCCTGGGTTCAAGCAGTCCTTCTGCCTCAGCCTCCAAGTAGCTGGAACTACAGGTGCGTGCTGCCACGCCCAGCTAATTTTTTGTACTTTTTAAAAATAGAGACAGGGTTTCACCATGTTGGCCAGGCTGGTCTTGAACTCCTGGGCTCAAGCGATCCACCTATGTCAGCCTCCCAAAGTGCTGGGATTACAGCCATGAGCCATCACATCCAGCTAATAATACTCTTAAATAAAACGTTTGATAAATATTTTCTTTTAAAATATTTTAGGCTTTATTATTAATTAGCATTTATTTATTTTTTTAATTTAGATGGGTCTAGGAAAGACAATCCAGGCAATTGGAATTGCTTACTTCTATAAAGAGGAATGGCCTCTGTTAATAGTGGTCCCTTCGTCTCTGAGGTACCCTTGGACAGAAGAAATTGAAAAATGGATCCCAGAGCTAAGTCCAGAAGAAATCAATGTTATTCAGAATAAAACTGATGTTAGGTAAGAACCACTTTTTAATCTTTAAGAAAAAAAGTCTTCCTTGTGTGTACCTGGTATGTATTCATGTTTTAGAATGCAATATCACCTATAGATCATAATTTAGAAGTGGAATAAGTAGTATGGATAATTTTATTTTACATTTTAAAATGTGAAGTATTTATCTAAAACCCAACAGTATATTTTATTTCTAAGTTCCTTTATGGTACATTTTTAAAGTAAAAGTAAAATATGTATACTTTTAAAGATATATATATATATATGTATACTTTATATGTACCTTAAACATATTTGAAACTATCTTAAGGTTCAAAAATAAATCTCACAACTTTTCATTGATTGACTTGAAGCTTTATGATCTTTTATTGTCAGCAACTTTAGTAGATTTTGCTTTCCAATTTGTTAATTAATATGCAAGTTTTGTGTATGACTCATTAGTAAGTTTGATTTTCCTTATTTATAATTTTAATATTTTATATCTTGAAAATATTTGCTTTGTGTTTATTGGAGGCTCTCACTCTAAAATCTGTTATAGTGTTGTTAGTATTTTTTTCCTCATTTTGCTTCCTAGCCATTAGAATAAGACAACCAGTTTGAATATTGATGAGCTGTTACATGGAATGTGTAGGTGATTCATACAAATTATTTCTCTGGAGGTTCAAAGTTATCTACTTCTGAACCTTAAATAAAAAGCAGTACATCTACTGAAATAAATATCTGTTAATACTTAGATTTTTTAATTTTGGTATTATTGTACTGTATTTTATTCTCTAAGACTGTTAACATAAAAGGTATATGTAAAAATAAAGTTGTCTTATGAATGTGGAAGGAGGAAGCACAAAATGTATGGAGGGCCTTTTCACTTTCAACTTTGCAGTGGTAATTCAGTGGAATGTATCTTTATGGGCCCAAGAAAATCTGAACTCTATTTACATGGTTAAAATGAAAAAACTGCTATCTTATTCTAATCATGATAAATAAATCTCTCCAATAAAACCACATGAAATTGAAAAGACTTACAAATTTAGAGAATGTAGAATTTTTGAAGACCTCCAAAACCATCATGTTAGTTATACCTTATTTATTTAATGTAATTAATTAATTTTTTTTTTTTTTTTGGAGGCGACATCTCACTCTGTCGCCCAGGCTGGAATACAGTGGCACCATGTTGACTCACTACAACCTCCGCCTCCTGGGTTCAAGGGATTCTCCTACCTCAGCCTCCTAAGCAGCTGGGATTACAGGCACCACCAACCACGCCTGGCTGACGTTTTAAATTTTTAGTAGAGATGGGGTTTCACCATGTTGGTCAGGCTGGTCTCAAACTCCTGACCTCACGTGATCCGCCCACCTTGGCCTCCCAAAGTGCTGGGATTACAGGCATGAGCCACTGCACCTGGCTGGTATACCTTATTTAAATGTTCATATTTAAATTTTCTTAAAATGACTCTTCTGTCATCTTTTATAGCTACTAGGGCTAGTTTTTATATTATTTTGAAAATATACTCTTGCAGTTTAAATGGTGGATAATATTTTTATTTGAATTGTATTTGGGATATGTTAGATATATCTACAACTCCAGAGTAGCAGTTTCCTGGAGGATGTTAGTTAAGGACAGAAAACTACCCAGGGTCTTCCAGGTACTTAAAGAAACAGGTTTAGGTGTATACCAATATGTCCACCACAAATACGTATACTTTCCTTCTGGCTTATATCAGTTATGCTTGGACTGTTTACTAGTCAAGACATGGTAGGACAGAAGCTACAGACTGCTGCAGTGGCCTTTGAAGCCATTGTCTCCTATATGTTGCGCTCAGTATACCTAAGTTAGATAGTAATAGTAATTAATCCAGTACTTTTCTTCTTCAGGCTCTTCCTGGTGTTTGAATACGGTGAGAAAATTATAGGTCTCGGCCAGGCGCAGTGGCTTACGCCTGTAATCCCAGCATTTTGGGAGGCCAAGGTGGGTGGATCACGAGGTCAGAAATCTAGACCATCCCGGCTAACACAATGAAACCCCGTCTCTACTAAAAATACAAAAAATTAGCCAGGTATGGTGGCGGACGCCTGTAATCCCAGCTACTCGGGAGGCTGAGGCAGGAGAATGGCGTGAACCCGGGAGGCAGAGCTTGCGATGAGCCGAGAGAGAGCTTGCGGTGAACCGAGATAGCACCACTGCACTCCAGTCTGGGCGACAGAGCGAGACTCTGTCTCAAAAAAAACAAGAAAATTGTAGGTCTCTGTATTAAGTAGATTAATCCAGGGCTTAAAATGCAGTTGCCCTAGTGGTTCTGGCTGCTTAGGACCTCTACCTTTTCTGTTAGAGGACAGAGAATTGCAGAAGACTGGCTCTGTCCTGTATTTTTTTCTGGTGATATAGAAAATGCAAAAGCGATATGTCTTAGTATTAATGAATTTATTTGTCTATTTCATTCTACAAACTTTATTTGGGATCATAGCACTGTGTATGAATACTACTAAAAGATGAGTAAGACACATTCCCTGCCCTTACCAATCTCATGATATGGTAACAGACATAAATATGTAAATGAATAATTTATTGACAGCAAGATAAAGAATATTACAGATGTGTGAATTATAGAAATCTGAAGATCAGGGATCATTTTAGCTCAATGGCTCTTGATGTGAGGTGGTACCCGCCTCTTCTAACCACACTTCACACTTCATCACCTTAGGTCCAGGAACTTTTTTGTTGTCACAGTGACTTGTCCACTGTCCCTTAATGGATAGGACCAGGAAGTGAAGCTCTGCAATGCACTCAACAGCCCTGTACGTCTGTTCTGCTACTGGTATTTTGAGCAGGAGGGGCTGTTCAGTGCACCGCAGAGCTTCACTTAGTCCTGCTCAAAATACCAGTAGCATCTGGATTGAAAAACTGCTATCTTATTTGTGTGAGGGTTTCATTAAGAGTCAACTAGTATTTAATTATCCATTTGATGCGTGATCCTAGGTACACAGAAGCAAATATTGTCAGAACGTAATGTGACTTGCTGGATGTCAAAATCTTTCAAAGATCATTTGACTAAAACTTTGGTTTTGGTTATGCAAGACTGTAAATTTTGGATCCTGTTTTATTAGATTTGAGGATTGTGAAATCTTAAGAATTTCAGTAATAGTACCATCTCCTTTTATTTTTCCTCTATTCTGCTTTCTTCTCCTGTGTGTTTTTTCACAATAGAGTTGTATTGTTTATGATAACGTCATTACTGAGATATTTTTTAAGTACATGGATTTTCTTTTCTAGGAGAATATCGACCAGTAAAGTGACAGTTCTGGGTTATGGTCTCTTAACCGCAGATGCAGAGACTTTGATAGATGCACTGAATAACCAGAACTTCAAAGTAGTTATAGTGGATGAATCACACTACATGAAATCCAGAAATGCAACTCGCAGCAGGATTTTATTGCCAGTAGTACAGAAAGCCAGACGAGCCATTCTTCTTACAGGAACACCAGCTTTAGGAAGGCCTGAAGAGGTATTACAATCCTTATACTCTGAACTTAAAAGAAGAGAAGGGAGGTAGGAGGGATATTGAATTAACCACCTGTTTTGCAATTTTTGATTTCAAATTAGATGCCTCAAATGCTAGAGGAGTACATTGGGAATTTCTAGATAGTACGTATGTTTTATCATGGCTATTTTAATCTATTTACGTTTAAACTTTTGCCAGGTTTGTAGGTGTGTATAAAAAACAGCTTTTATCTTTATGATAAGGCTTCCATACATAGTACAACTGTATAATATTCTTCACAATGTGTTCCTGAGGTTCTTCTATGGTCTTAATCTTCATTTATCCTATCTATTTTACATTATAAGCTGCTTAGGATTGGGATTGAATCTACCTTATTTCTTTTACATTGCATTGCAGAACTTCTTTCTGTTCTTTCACTTTAAGATTCACATTTGGGAAAGTAAAGAGAAACTAAAGCTTATGTGCAGACCAGATAAGGTATCTGCCTAGAATGAAAGAATAAGGCATGCATTTGATATCCCATTTAGCTTTTGCTACTCTAAGAGATGGGTAGTACATGGAGTGGTTAAAGAGTTAGGAAGAAGACATGATGGAAGAAATGCCTGTAAGTTTTAGTGTTCCTTAAGGAAATTCTGTTTACTAATGAACACTGAATCATGGAAAAACATGGGCTGTCTTGTAGGGTTGCTGGGAGAATTAAAGGTAATACTGCTTTGAAAGTACCTCACCCTGTGCCTTGTCACATAGTCACTCAACATATGGTAGCCAATATTATGTTAATTTTTGAGCCAAGCCTGGGTGACAGCTATTATCATTGTCTGTCTAACAGTATTACCTAAGCTCTACTTTCAATTCTATCCTGGAAATCTTGTGAGATACATATAAAAGTACATAGATAGTGATGATAAAATGTTTAATTTTACCTTTTACAGTTTTTTCTCTTGGATACCCACTGACAGTGCTGTAGCTCCAAGTAATTGACATATGTCCCCAGATTATGTCATTGAATAATAGGGGTGATTATATCCTTTAAAAAAAATCATGAAACGTATCCTTCAAGATACTCAGTCCTACTGAGTCCAGTGAGTAGGCTGGACTCAGTAACTCATGCCTGTAATCCCAGCACTTTGGGAAGCTGAGGCGAGTGGATCACTTGAGGCCAGAAGTTCAAGACCAGCCTGGCCAGCATTGGTGAAACCCCATCTTTACTAAAAATACAAAATTAGCTGGGCATGGTGGCCTGGCCTGTAGTTCCAGCTACCCGCGAGGCTGAGGCAGGAGAATCACTTGAACCTAGCAGGCCAAGGTTGCGGTGAGCTGAGATCTGACCATTGCACTCCAGCCTGAGCGACAGAGTGAGACTCTGTCTCAAAAAAAAAAAAACCATACATTTTAAATGATGATAACAAAATAAATACTCATCTACTTATTATCGAGCATAAGAAATAGAACATTGACAATACAACAGTGGCTCTTACATCCTACTCTTATCACATGTCATTACTTTTCACTCTTCACCTATGGTAGCCACTATTCAAACCAAGGGTAAATACCAATTTTGTGAGTCCTAATGATTGTACAATTTGTGTTTGGGATTTTTTTTAAGAAAAATAATATAAAATTTGAAATTCTAAGTTAGGAGTTTTGAAATTAGGAAGTGTGAGTTCTCTCATTTTGTTTTTCTTTCTTTCTTTCTTTTTTTTTTTTTTTTTTAAGACAGAGTCTCACTCTGTTGCCCAGGCTGGAGTGCAGTGGCATGATCTCAGCTCACAGCAACCTCCACCTCCCAGGTTCAAGCAGTTCTTCCACCTCAGCCTCCCGAGTAGCTAGGATTACAGGTGCGTGCCACCACGCCTGGCGCATTTTTGTATTTTTAGTAGAGACTGGATTTTACCACGTTGGCCAGTCTGCTTTCAAACTCCTGGCCTCAAGTGATCTGCCCATCTTAGCCTCCCAAAGGGCTGGGATTACAGGTTTGAGCCACCACGCCCAGTCTATTTCCACTCTAATCTTTATTGTGACCTTCCTTCTATTTGCTGTGTGTTGTTTGCCCTTACTTTTCCAGTGTGTTAAGGTGAAAAATTAGGTTATTGATTTGAGTTCTTCTTGTTTAACATAGGCATATGCAACTATTAATTTCCCTCTTAGCACTATTTTTGCTGCAACTCATGTTTTGGTATGTTGTGTTCTCAATTTCCCTTATCTCAAAGTGTTTTCTAATTTCCTTTGTGATTTCTTCTTTGGCCCACTGGTTATTTCTGAATATGTTGTCATATTAAACGGACATAAAGCACTGAAGTCACTTTAGAAAAATTTAGGAGTTACTTAAAACGTTACTGTATCACCCAATAATTTTATTCTTAGGTATATACCCAAGAGAACTGAAAACAAGTTCTCACCAGAAATTATATACTCATGTGTATAGTTACATAGTAGCATTATTCATGATATTCAAAAAGTGGGAACAAGTAAAATACTCATCAATTGATGAATGTATAAACAAATGTGATATAGCCATACAATGGAATTATTTGGACCTAAAGAGGAATGAAATACTATATATGCTATAACATGAATTAACTTTGAAAGCACTATGCTGGGTGAAATAAGCCAGATACAAAAGGCTGCATATCATATGATTCTATTTATATGAAATGCCCAGAATAGGCCAAGTCATAGAGACCGAAAGTGGATTAGTAGGTGGCAGAATCAGAAGAGAGGAGAAATAGGCAGTGACTACTAATGGGTATGGAAGTTTTTTGAGGGATGATAAAAATATTACGGAATTGGTCATGATTGGTGCACAACTGTGTGAATCTATTGAAAGCCACTGAATTATGTTCTTTAAAAGTTTGAATAGTATATGAATTACATGTCACAATAAAGCTGTTGGTTTTAAAAAATATATTAAAATAATGAGACAGTACTCTGTGCAGCCTATCAGAGTTGTAAAAATGAAAATGTTTCAAGATACTATTGATGGGAGTGTAAATTGGGATAATCTTACTGGGCAACATGGTAACATTATCAAACTTTAAAACAGTATATACCTTAGAATCAGCTATTCCATTTCTAAATATAATCCTACATCACCTCTAATAGAAATGCAAATGGATGGATGAATGAATGGATGGATGAATGGATAGATGATTAATAGATATACTACACCTATATATTCATATATATATATACACACACACACACACACACACACACAAAGTTATATGAAGTTGTTAGTATTAGTAACTTCATAAAAGCTAGAAATAGGCCGGGCGTGGTGGCTCATACCTGTAATCCCAGCACTTTGGGAGGCCGAGGCGGGTGGATCACGTGGTCAGGAGATCGAGATCATCCTGGCCAATAAGGTGAAACCCCGACTCTACTAAAAATGCAAAAACAAAATTAGCCGGGCGTGGAAGTGGTCACCTGTAGTCCCAGCTACTCGGGAGACTGAGGTGAGAGAATGGCGTGAACCCTGGAGGCGGAGCTTGCAGTGAGCCGAGATTGCGCCGCTGCACTCCAGCCTGAGCGACAGAGCGAGACTCTGTCTCAAAAATAAATAAATAAAATGCTGGAAATAGCCTATATGTCCAATATCGGGAGTCTGTTTAAATATTTTACAGTACATCTACATCATAATGGGTAGCTATTCAGTTTTGTTTTTGGTTTTTTTGTTTTGTTTTTTTTTTAAATTATACTTTTTGTGCTGGGGTACATGTGCACAAGATGCAGGTTTGTTACATATGTATACATGTGCCATGTTGGTGTGCTGCACCCATTAACTCGTCATTTACATTAGGTATATCTCCTAATGCTATCCCTCAAAGCCCATATATAAACAAATAATAATGCACTATTATAAAACTGAATGGCATCTCAGCAAACTATCGCAAGAACAGAAAACCAAACACCGCATTTTCTCACTCATAGGTGGGAATTGAACAATGCAGATCATTTGGACACAGGAAGGGGAACATCACACACCAGGACCTGTTGTGTGTGGGGGGAGGGGAGGCGGGCAGGGAATAGC